CAGGCCCCGTCCCCGAGATTCCACAGGCCAAGGCACTCGAGCTGCAGCGTATGGCTCAAGAAGCTGGCGATTCGGTGGGGGCCGCGCGCTATGGTGCACTGGCGCAGAGAGCAGCCCCGCCCCCGAAGCCTTCGGGACGCCAGCGCCTCATCGAAGCTGAGCAGAAGCAGGAGAAGCTTGAGAAGAAGCTCAACAGTGAATACGAGAAGTTGCAGCGCTGGAGATCGGCCACCGAGGAGCTGGCTTGGACCGTCAAGGGGCTGGCAGAGGACCTGCAGAGGGCCGACGCTGAAGTGGCAGCCACACTGGCGGAGCTCCAGAACCAGCACCGAGTGGCGCCGACCAACAAGGGAGATGCTCAGCCCCTCGTCAGCCTTGGCAAGCCTATTGATGGTGATATGGAGCTGGCTTCGATTATCTCGCTGGGCGACTTCATCGATGTGGAGGCGGTCAAAGGCAGTTATGAGGTCCGAAGAGGACCTGCGCGAACTGGAGGACCGCAAGAACGAAGCAGCCAAGCAGATGCAGGAGGTGCTGTGCAATGTCTTTCGGCAGGCGCTGGACAAGGCCAATACCTGCCAGGAGCAACATAAGGAGCACATCAAGCGCCTCCAGGCCAAGCGGAGGCGCACCGAGCCTGGCACGGAAGACGATCCACCGACTGATGGAGGACAAGAGGCGGGATCTGCGTCAAGCCAGGCAGCGTCGTCCGCGGGGGCCAAGGCTGCGACGCCGCCAGATGCCGAGGATAAGGCATCCCAGAAGATGGATATTCGTTTTCGCGTATCTGCGGATGCTGGTGTTCAAGCTGCCGAGCGGTCGGGGATTTAGCCAGCACGACGACTCGACAGCGCCAGGGACGTCAGGGTCGAGTTCGGCGCCTTCCAGCACCTGGACCTTGATTGGCGCAAGCTCTCCTGAGAAGGCGATCCCCAGTCTGTGTGAACCCACCAGCCTGGCGGCAGGTGCGAGTTCTCGGCTAGGGTACCCGCTGGAGGAGGCTGCGCCGACGACATCGTCGATTACCAACAGGGGATCGTCGAGGCCGTCTACTACGATTGCGTTGTCGTCACAGTCCACGGCAACTCCTGGCGCATCGGTGTCGGGCTCGGCTCCGAGGGCGGCGTCTACCAGCTTTGTCGGATTGGGAGCCAGGTGCGCCTCGAGCCTGGCCCCCCTCTGAGTTAATGTGTGAGGAAGTGGTGTCTCGTCATTGGACGCCGAGTCAGAATGCTGCCGTCCCCAGCGGGTCGGCTGCCTCGTCCAAACCTTTTGTTGGAATTGATAAGAACGTTGGGGGGATGCCTTCGCAGTCTGCGGAGGTGTCGCCAAGTCAGAACGCAAGTGGCGGGTGCTCCCCGAACCCTCCACCCAGTGTCAGTCGGGGACAATCGCCTGAAGCTGGCGTTAGATCGCAACGTCCTAGGGGCGACAGGCTGCTGCCGACGTCGTTTCCCCAGGCTACGTCGCCACCTGCTGGACCTCGATCCTCACCGATGCGGAATCAAAAGGCCCCGTCTACGGACTGTCAGAACGCTTGTGGCGGGCGCTCCTCGAACCCACCTCAACCAAGGGAGAGTTGCGAGTCGCGTGCATCTGGTGCGCCCAAGCAAGTAATCTCTGTGTTGGATGACCTTCCACCTGAGGAAGTTGGAGCAGGAGGGACCTTCAGAGTTGGCACTCTAAATGCGAATACTTGGCCCGGAGCTCGCAGTACCATGCCATGGATCGAGAAGCAGTGCCAGATGTTCCACGCGCTGTGTATTCAGGAGACGGTGCTGGATACCACGGCAGAGGCTGGCGCGCATCAATGGGCTCGCAGCTGTTCTCGGAAGTTGGCTCTTGGCACGGCCAGGCGCACAGGGGAGTCGGCCAGGTCCCTCTCCGGGGGGTGGGCCTCTCCGCAGCGCTGGGCATTGGAGTGGCCAAGCTACACATACCTGAGAAGTGGCAACATCGTGTGGTGATGAGGCTCATGACCCTGGGAGCCCATTCTTGGATCATCATCGGGTCGGTCTACGGGGTCGACTTGGTTGGACCCGAGGGTGAGAACCTCGAGCTGCTGGAGTTCCTCAGCGCTTTCCTGGGGGCGCAGCGCTTCCTCTTCCTCTTGGGGGGAGACTGGAACCTAGGTCCAGAGGAGATCATGGAGTTGGGTTGGCTAGATTTGGCAACGGCCACCATCTTCGCTCCTGGGCTTCCAACGTGCAATGGGAAGGAGTACGACTATTTCATCGGCTCCCAGGCCCTAGATGCCTTCCCGATGACGGTGGAAGCGAGAGTCGACGCGCCCATGTCGCCTCACTGCTATGTGGAGATCAAGCTTGACGGCCTGAGAGACGAGCCCTTCGTCTGGGTGGAGGCGCTGCCGAGAGCCTTCCCATTGGTGATGCAAGAGGAGAAGCGGAAAGCCTGGGTGAAGAACGATGGTGCCAAAGCAGTGGATCGCACCCACGTGGGAGCGCCCCCCTCGGTGAAGGTGCTTGAGGAGTGGCAGCTG